GTGCCCCGAATTTCCATGCGACCAACGGCATCCGTCAAACGTGAACTACTGTCGCCATCTTGACACGACCGTTCATGGCGACACTCGACGGTATATCGCGGAACTATATCACCGTGACGCGGACAATTCAAACCGTTTCGATTTTCCACGTAAAATTTTCTGCTCCCAAAGACTGCTTAAATTTGAAAAAGGAAATGGTCGAGCGCGAACTATCCGCGATTCTCTATCCTTTTTATCGATCCTCCAGAACCGGTATACGCCACACGATTCGTGCAAAACGAAGAACGCAACGCGAAACAGGGGTACCGGACGAGCACGGACTCTCGCTACCAGGGGGCCTGGAGCCCATTGTAATTGCGAGCTCTAACAGAAACGCCACTTAAAAAATGGCTCGCAAAACGCTCGAGTGCCAGGTGAAAAGCAGGAAGAAATGAAAACGAGAAAAGGAAAATGGGGCCGCTCGGGGCTTTTCAGAAAATGGGTCGCGTTGTTTAACGTCACGCGATGCCGCTTTTAATCTGCACGAGAGTAATGGCGAAACAATGTTCCCACGGAACAGTACCGACTTCCTGTATCGCTCGGGGAACTGCAGGCTTTCCGTCGCTATTTTGCCAACCGGCGAACTTTCGAAGAAACTACCGTGGAAATTAAAGAACGGGAACGGGGACTAGGGCTTCGCAAATTGGAATTAGCATTCGAAGAAAGAAAGCGGATGCGACGGGGGTCGCAATTGCGGCGCTGATTCGCAGATTGGAACAGGAAAACTGGAGATTTCGCGGCGGTGATTTACAGATTGGAGCCAATCCCGGGAGGCGGACGTCGATGCAAGGAAGTAATGGCAATCAGCTCGTTGCAGATGCAATGCTCGAATCGAGGATGCGGCAGCTGGTTCCGGGGCCAAGTGTCTTTGCACTCGTATCGACGATTGGAGCACGCGGTCGATTCGACTCGTCTTGAACCACGAAAACGATAAGAGCGGTTTCTTATACGAGGATGCTTGTGCTCTCTCGTCGGGCCAAATTGATAGCACGGAAACGAATGCCGGCTGCGTCACAACGCCGTTTGCATAAAATACCGCGACATCGTCATTCGGCCCTTAGGCTACCGCAGACTTATCCTGCTATTCTAATCGCGTGCTGTTCTAACTCGTTGGAGGATCACCTACTCGAATGACTTCATCGTTCGCAGTCAGCGAGACAGGAAATACTTTCGAGTCATTTTTCCTGCTCTCCGTTCCAGGTATCGTATCATTCCTTATTACGACTCGATGGTTACGTGGACTCGCGTCGTATCGAAGTAGAGGTATTGATCGGCTGGAAGAGGCTTTATCGATCGCGAAACTTACATCATTGCTCGAACAAACTGTTTGCAGCGGGACGAGAGGATGGTGCTCCACTTTTTACAGCGAAATTTTCTCCTGCGCTACGTAACAATGGAGAATGTCGTGGCGTGGCAGACGGTAAAGTGGAGTAACCCGTTGGAAGAGAGAGGATGGTCAGTACAGCGACAATCGATAGCCACGATGAGTTTGGCCCACCCAGAGGCATTTCTTTTGATAACGAAGGGGGTATGTCTTCGATCCCGTCGCACTCTACTGACGAACAATGCCGTAAGCGATTCGAGTGCCGCTACTTGGTGTTCTCTAAGCTGTAGAAAAGAGGAAACGCGCTTGGCATATTTTGCAGCGACCAACCACGTATTCGAGCGTGTCGCCGTTCCACGTCCTTACGAAATTATTATTGCCGTTCCATGGCACTGAATAAATGCTTTCCAATTCTATGCGGCACAACAAAGATCGTCTCGGAATAATCCGAGCCGCGGGATAAACTGGGAATTCCGTTGGTCGGGAAATCCTAGTCATGGACTACATTGTCTAATTAAGAAAGATGAACGGTAAACAATCGCAATTGTTCCAATTTCGATCGAGTTCTCGCTTAAAGGAAACCAGTCGAACGAAGCGAATTAATACGATTCCGTGGAAATAAAAACGATCTTACGAGGTCGATAACTGGAATTTAACGCCATATACGACGGCGCAGCTACGCGGTAGCAGGTTCAACGCGAGAATAATTACGCCAGTCACGCAATGTTACAATCAGCCCCGACTCGTACGCGCCAGCCACCCTATTTAGAAGAAAAATATCAACGGGGTTCGAGTTTACCGCTGTATGCTAAGCGCGCGTAGAGAGAAAAAATCGGCTATGCGGACGAGGATAGATTGTACCTTTTTACGTCGATGAAACGGGTAACGGTTTACCCGTATACCAGGTGTCTTCGCGTGTTTTCGACGGTCACCTGACGGGCTAGTTCTTTCGAGAATTTCGTGAAGCACTCGTTGTTTGGGAACAAAGCGAGTAAACGGTGATCGGGACAGGAGGCACGCGTACCAGCGTGGGACTTTTCAAGGATATTCTGGAAGGAGAAAAGAAAACAGAAGAAACAAGGAGAAAGAGAAAAGGGTTTCAACGAGCTGTTTAGGTCGGACCCGAAGCGAGGTGTCGAACAGACCACCGTGTATAAGAAACGTTTACAACATTAATGGATGTACTTTGAGTTTAACAGTACACTTAATGTTGCGACCGACAAGCTCGGTGGTTCGAGTGGCGTAATCGTTAAACGAGCCACTTGGCATCTCGTCGAAGGTATTCCATCGAAGGAGAAAAAAAGGCGAATGACCTACCTCATCGCGGACAAGTAACTCGAAACTTCCAAGATTTCGTGTTATCCGAGCGATCGTTGCAATGCGGAGGATGCTGCGATCGTCACGTAAGCACTGTACCGTGGTGATCCGGTTCATAAATATGTAATTACTAGATAATTATATAATCATTTCGGTATATTGTCTTTCCGAAATGACCTGACACCGCTCGTCGATCGTTACTGGATACGGAAACACGACGTCGGTGAAAGAAAAACAAACCATGACGTAGGAGAAACGCAGCTACCTATGGCAATCGATAGTCACTTATAGACGCGAAGAATCTCGACAGATGTACGTCGCAGAGAAAAGCATGAAAGGTAACGTAGGATTGTATATGTCGAGGCCGACGTGTGATATAAAAATTCCACTTGACTCACCTCTGTTCTCTATACGCGGTTCTGGATTTCAAAATTCGAAAGCTCCTTCACGCCATAATCGTTACAGTAGGGCACTAAGAGTCCGGTTCAAGGCCAAGATAGCAGATCGGGAAAATAAACGGAAATTCCAGACACTGGAATCGATGATATTTCTTCGATATTGACAGCTGAACGTGACCGGCCGAGTGGAAATTTCTCAACGCATTTGGGACACTGGCTCGATAAAATCGCTTCGCCGATGATCCCGGTGCAACGTGCTCCCGACACAAACAAAAGGTGACTGAGAGATCCTGAGAATCCTAACCGCCTGTTTACGTCGACGATTTTAACCGCAAAACCCCACCCCTTGGTAATCGAGCCTATCGGTGAACGACAAGCAGGCAACATGCATTTTCAGGAAAAAAGGACCGTGTGTTGACAGATCCCGAGGGATAAAAAACGCGGAAAGGATGAGACTTGTCACGCTGTATGTATGTGGGTTTCGCTCGTGTATCGTTACTCACGTATGCGTACGCCGTCCTGTTATCGAGTTCCAGGATTGCCAGCGAGTCCTTTACACTAGGATTTCACAAGGATCGAACATTCGACCTGACGATATCACACTTTGTACAATTTAACGGTCAGGGTGTGCCCCGAATTTCCATGCGACCAACGGCATCCGTCAAACGTGAACTACTGTCGCCATCTTGACACGACCGTTCATGGCGACACTCGACGGTATATCGCGGAACTATATCACCGTGACGCGGACAATTCAAACCGTTTCGATTTTCCACGTAAAATTTTCTGCTCCCAAAGACTGCTTAAATTTGAAAATTATCAAGTTTACACGACATTTTACGTTAAAAGTGCAGAAACTGTATATCGATTATGTAGAATACCAACTTCGAGAGTCGCAAATATTCGATTTCGTCAAATATTTTAATAAAATTGTTAAAATTTGTTATTAAACGTTCGATGATTACTTGCAAGTATTCGATTTCGATGCAAATCGCGACATTTAAATTATAATTGGACAAATGTATTATTCAGTGCGAAAAGGAAAACAATAAAGTGTACAGTTTAGGTAAATTAAAAAAAGAAAGTTACGATATCGACATTTTCGCGTTCTCGTATTTTTCTTTTCGGTATTTCACGATATATTGCGGCACGTTGGAAAATTAAATCAATTTTTAAAGTTCGATAAATTTTATCACACGCGTAACACCGTTTTATCGATGAATTCTTATCAAAAGAAAAATTTGCTTCGCGTGAAGGTTTTAAACAATCGCGGTATTTCAATCTCACGCTTTATGACGTCAGACGATAGGAAATAAGGTTAAGTACGAATTGCACGTATCAAGGGGACTGCGTATGGTCAGGGTTCGCGAATAATTCGCGACGTCCCTGGTTTCGATCGAATCAACGTTTTCGCCAGCGGTAGTAGCAGCAGTCCCTGGGCAGAATGCAACTGCGTGGTGACACGGAACGACAGACCTAATTCGCTAAATTTGGACACACGTGCAATTTCTGGTACGTAGTTGTCGAAAAAGCGATGTAACTCGTTCGACGATCATTTATTCCAAAAATCGGTGCAATCACGGGACGGAGCGGGATTTTATTAATCGACTATTCGACCGACTGCTTTCAGAACACGTGCGGGTCGAGCGACCACGTGGGCCGCATGTATCGAAAAGCAAGTGCCGCATCGTCCGGTGAGTGCATTTAGACAAACTGTGATATTTCTGTTATCAGCACTACACCTTTGCAAAGAATGAAACATAAGTTTTTTTGAATAAAAACTTAACTGCGGCAATCACTGTCAATTGACTGATAACTGAATTGAAAAACGATAACCTTCGAGGATGATATTTTGAGAAAGATAAACGTTTTAGTGGACAGAGTTTGTATTTATACCAGAAATACAATTTTTAGCAGATGGTGAATGCACGTGATCGAAATATGTAATACTACATATCTGTGTATTAGATGAAAAAATGTGATATAGTTTACCAATTTAGAAAAGTATTTGTAAGTAAAGTAACCAAGGATATGTACTATTGATGCGAAGAAAAAAGTATAAAGACTGATAGAATAAGAACGTATAAGTAAGAATTCTTGTTGGTTGTTTTAAGAAAGATACAGAGTAATGGCTGAAGAAGAACCGCAACTGAAAAAATTAAAGCATTCTGTCATCTCTGATTTTATCTATTCAACTAACTTTCAGCAATTATTTTTCCAAAATTGGCACAGCTCTACCGATATAAAGATAGACAACCTTGAAATTATATCGAAACCCTTCAGAGTGTGTAGAATTTCAAATTTCCTCTGCAGCGAGGAATTCATGGATGAAATAAAGAACGAATTACTGGATGTCAAAAGTAGAAGAAATAGCATAGATCTCTATCAGTTTGAACAAACCAACGATCTTGCTAATATCGATACAGAGAATTTAAAGTTACTGTATCAGACTTTTCAAATAGATTTAGCAACCTGGATGGAACGGAACACTAAAATAGAACTCAACAAGAAGATATCCATGTCGAGTTCTTGTTACTACGATACAGATTATTTACTATGTCACGATGACAATATGGGTGACCGTAGAATTGCTTTTATATTGTACCTTTCAAAAAATTGGTTTGGAAAAGACGGTGGGACATTGGATTTATTTGACACGGATGAACACGGTCTGCCTAGAAATGTTGTAAAATCATTGATACCGGAATACAATTCCCTAGTATTTTTCGAGGTGGTAAATAATTCTTATCATCAAGTAGCTGAAGTAACCACACCTGACAAATCACGTTGGTCCATTAATGGTTGGTTTCATGGACCACTTAGTATAAGCAACAGACCACCAAGACCAGAAATTGAACTCGACTACATACAGCCGTCAAACGAGCGTGTAAACTTGAACGATTGGGTAACGGAATGTTATTTATTCCCTGGAATCGTTAAAGAGATCCAGCAAGATATGGAGGAAGAATCGTTTGCCTTTTTATCCAATTTCTTAAGAGACGACGTTTACGAAAAGCTTGCTACAGACTTGACGTCGGACGTTATCGTTTGGAAGAAAGTTGGTCCAGCTGATACTCGTAACTACGAGATAGCGGAGGAAACGAGCTTGCCCGAGTTGCTAAAGACCTTTTACAACATGTTCAAGTCTATCACGATGTTCCAATTGTTAAAAAACTACACGGAATTAGATCTGGTACCAGAGAAAGAGAACATGAATCCGAAAATGGTTATAGAGCTTCAGAGATGGTCCAGAGGTTGCTATACGTTAATATGTGATAAAACTATCACGAACGAGTCTACTCTGTCCACTAGCGAGCAAAAGTCCAACAACGGACGAGTAAATCAAAACGAAGAAACGCAGGAAGATTCGTTGGAGACGTTGGGTAAAAGTAGCAAAGGGGGTCAGGAAAAATCGATACCAAACAATGAGAATAAGAGCACCGAATCAGGTTGCGATACTCCAGTGAGCGGTAAAGAGGACGACGACATCGACGAGGACGAGATACTGAAAAAGATACTTAAATCGAAATCTCCACGGTCGAAAAAGAAAAATTTATGGCAACAGTCTTCCTCGTCGAAATTAGAAAATCTGTCCCCGCAGAAACCAGCTAGGATCCTAGATACCGACGATTCCGACGTGTCCGATATCGGAGACTATTTGTCTGATCCGTTGGATTGTTCCTTGGAATGTTCGGATCAAGAGGAAGACATGGACGATGCGAATACGTCTGAACCGGGCGCTCTCGATATGATAATCCAATTTCATACGAATCACGTATCCGAGGAGGATACCATAGATTACGTGGATCCCAAAGAGCAAGAAGGTGCATTAATTCACGTGCCAGCGAAAGATAACCACCTCTGCCTCGTTTACAAGACGTTAGGCACTTGCCGTGTTCATAAATACGTGAATCATTATTGTACAGATTATTTTTACAATCTAATTTGTACATATTACGAATAGTAATTATACATACGATTCGTCTTGTCTCGTATGTTCCTCGAATGACTTGGCAATTGTATAATGAATGGTGGACAGGAGTTGTCTGTCCTCAGCATGTATCATAGTATTCGTATTAATAAAATTGTCAGTATTTATCGTCGAGCAATTTCTTGCCATTTATTTCTACGAACTTACAAACCTACTAGGTAGTATTCGATAGGCATAAGATGCAAGTATCAAGTAACGAAGGTGTTCGTGCGTCTTACGAAATCTAAGGTGGAGATTAAGACCACAGTGCAGAAGACATTCTCAATTGTTTATTAGGTGTGATACATCTATCGTTTACCTTTACTTACGGAGCTAACGTTAGGTGCAGTTGGATTGCATGCAGGGGTTTCGGAGTACTTGGTCTTTATAGCGTAATCGACTCTGAAGAAACAGTTCTTAATTTCCCGTTCAATGCAAAAGCGGTGGAAATTCTTGTTCTAAGTATTCGAGAAGAAAAAAAAGAAAAGAAAATAAACAATGAAGCTTACGAGTTTGAGGCGTTAGTATAATCGTTTGCCAGTTGCTGCACTTGTATCTCGATCTGTGAGGAGCTTTGTTCCTTGCCATCCTTAACGATCTTCGCGGTGACCTGGGACGTAAAATCTCTGGATAAAGATTATCCCAATTGTCTCGGACACGAAGGTAATAAAAATGCGACATGGTTAAACTCTTCGCGTCTTCTCTTTAAATTACCCCAGGCGGAAACCATTAACGGTCACGCCTTCGATTTACCTTTGTTCCACACGACTTAAAGCAACAATCGATCGCTTCTAATCATACGAAATGCAGCATATATATATACGACTATCGTAACAAATCACCTGAGAAGTGGTAGGGATTCCAGCCATGCGTTTCCGAAGTTCGTTCAGCTGCAGTTCCCTCTGGAAGCTCGCGTCGCTTTCCTGCGAATCCTCGCGCAATCCATCGTTAATCGAGTCTGAGGAGTACTCTACCTGCACCCAGGGGCAAATAGTGGGCGAAGCTTGCAGAGAATTTTTGCTCCCCGGCCGGGAGAGGCGAGGGGAGAGGCGTCGTAATAGCGAAATGAGTTTCGACCTGCGGGAATTGTGTTCTCCGTTAACTGTCGTTTCTAGATCAACTATGCGCAATAGAATAACGAGTACTTTGTACTGGGTGTTTGGAGGTGGTCTGAACTGATTGCTCCGCTTCTAGAAAGCTGTTCCGCGCTACGGGTAGTGTCCTTCCAGTGCAGTTTGTTGATGGATCTTCCTACTCGCCAATCTAGGCTACTGCTTTGTCGAGATTGAAAGCCTGAAATGATAATTTAGAATGCTACTCGTGTCGTTTTAACGCTGGTTCGGCTATAACGGTACAACGTGACCATCGTTCGAGGCAAACAATTCCCCACCTTGCTCGTTCGTCGCTTGATTAACCCTCCAATCTAAGGAGTTGCTACTTCTATTCACGCTATATATATTATCACAGGATTTCGTAGCAAGATATGTCGCGTGATGACGCCGTCTGAGCAGCTTCGAAACTGGTCCCAAGTTCCTGAAACACGATTACACGATTAGTCAAAATTCAGATCCATCGGATCGGGATAGAGCGTATCGAAGAAAGGAAGAGTAGTATACGTACTTTTTGAATTTGCGAGTTTGCTCGAGAGGCGGTTTGCTGTCGCAAACTACCACTTTGACTTCCGGATCCGGGCAGAAGGTGCCTACGCGAATGTGGCTGTAATTGCCACGGACACCGTCTAGGGACCGGAAGTTACCGCGCTCCTTCGAAGGCACGCGGACTATCTCGATTTTCGGTCTTCTCTCCATGCTTCTCTCTTTCTCTCTCTCTCTCTCTCTCTCTCTCCCTCTCTATCTCTGCGTACTCGGTATCACTTATCGATCTCTCGATCTCTACCGTTTCACAAACGATCACACTTATCGGTCACGAAAAATGGTAAAAAATTGAAAGGCTGTCAGGTGGAGATTGTCATTTCTTCCATGCGATCTTTGCCTCGCTATGCTATCATCGACTATCAGAGATATGTGTCTCGCGACGCGTCTGTTTCTACTTTTCTCTCAGAAGCTATGCTCGTCGAGGTTCTTAAAATAGTCGTGGAATCTTCGTGAGCTACTTCTACCTAAAGTCCTCTCGCTGCTGTATCACGTCATAACGGTTGATTCTTCCAAGCGTTTGGCACGCGCGACCATTCCGGCCATCGCAAATCTTCGTCGATTCACGAAGCACGTGCGTCTGCTCGTCACATCCGCACAAAAACTCCACGGGTCACGTTCATTCATTCCACTAGAATCGCTGTTTATCCCTCGACACGGACGCATCTGACGTCTCGCCGCGGAAATTCGTCCGATCGGACCAGGTCATCGGCTCCCCTCGATCTCTCCTTTACCGCGTAATCCGTCGATCTCGATCGCACTCGCGTCTCGTGAAAATATCGTTACAGAATAGACATATGGAAAAAGTGCGTAGAAATATATAGACGTGATTCTGGTAGAAAAAGCATGCTCGGGTCACGTCGCTTTGTAAAAAATGTTTGTCTCCTCGCGCGTTCTTTGCACTTTGCATATTCGTAGGGAACCTGTTTTCCGTCACATTTCCGAGCTTTTTCTTCCCTTTTTCGTCGCGCGTAGTTTCTACGGTTCGTGTGCTCGTTTCTGCGGTTTCACTCGCGACGACGTGACTCTGGCCTGAACCGCGCAAAACCGCACACGGGTGATCCCAATTTCCTAAATGCAGAGGACGACGAGCGTTATTACTTTCCTCTATCTATCGCAGCGTACTGCGTCGTCTAGGCGCCTATTTTCGAGCGATCATTGCGTAATCGTCAATTATGATTAGAAGGAGGACAATACACGACTTGACTTACATTAGACGATTGTATTCAGACAATCGGTTTCGAACCGTTCTCGATCTATTACGAGCTCGACACCGACTGCCTATAGCTACGCGAGCATATTCTCCTACCCCCTCCCTTTATTTGCTTTCATATAAAAATGCCCCCTTTTTGTCTCTCGCTTTTTCCTCGAAAGAGATCAGTCGAGGTTTCACGTAACGTCGGAAACAATACGGTTTGCAGGCTTTTGTAACCATCAGGAATCGTATTTCGCGGGTAGAAGAGCGTAAAGAAACGTGTTGGTCTGTTCCATTCGAGAGACGATACGGTTCAAATCGCAGAGAGTATTCGCATTGGGGAATTTTCGCGGCGGGCAATCGAATCGGGCCGCGGATTCGCGCGTATTGTCACCGAAAGGCTACGCGCGTTTCCATCGGATGCACTCGAAAGCTTTCGCAGGTTCGAAACTCTGCCGTATGGCAATTAAGCGGCTAATTAATTCGAAAGAATACCGGGAGCTTGCGTCGAAGCGGTATATGGATTTCCATAATTGCACGGAGCACCGTCTGTGTTCCGAGACGCAACTTCTAATTAAAAAAGAAAGCGTGGAATAATTCGATGCCTCGGGGAGAACACTCTGCAACGACGGCTCCTGCTTTAAAAAAACTTTCCGGAACTTATCGGAAAACTGCGCGTTACCAACGCACGAAATGTCAGCTATAAACGAGCGACAGCTCGGTGAACATTTTCAGTCAACAATTTCTGCCCGACTTGCACGGTCGTACTCGCTTCGATCGGTAAACCGTATCGACCTCTGTAAAAATAACGGGTACAAACACACGGGTACGAATCGATTCGTCAACCAAGCGTCGCACTTGAATCTTGTCGGAACATTCGTGTAACGTACGACGGAAATCCGCGAAAGTGAATTTTAAACGGCGCGTTCACGCGGTCCTCACGCCACTCGAAACCGTGTTGGCGTATTTCGTTGGAGAACGAGAACGAAGAATCGATATTCCGGATTAAGCGAGACGCGGGAATTAGACGTGGGAAAAATAGAAAAATTAGGTCGCAGTGGGAGTTTTCGCACTGTGGTTGTAGTATCGGCGCGGCCACGCCGCGGTTTAACGTCCGCGCTCTGCGGCTCGCGGAGATTCACTGCCGGCTTTGACGTACGATCGTTGCGCTTTACGCGCGCACACAGAAGCTCCGCAGCGCGCAAAAGGCTGTATTACACATCGGTGGGTTTTTGGAGCGGCGAGGAAAAATAAGTAATTAAAGCGTAAATACCTATACGCGACTGTGTACCGTCATGGTTTACCGAACTCTGCTCGACGAACCGGCGGCGAAACATCGTTCGATCGTGAATTTCCACCGGCTTAACCCCTCTATCTTTTCCTTCTTTCCCATTTTCGGTCGAGCAAGTTGTACGAGTAACGCGGGAGAACACCGTTACATCGATTTTCTATATCGCGCGTTGATTTATCATCCGGCTTTATGGAGCGTGTCAGTGAAACACGTGTATCTTCTCCTCTTCTCGGTGCGCCTCTTCGATTTTACAAAATCCAGGCGAGATCGCGAGGCTTTCACGCGTCCGAGTTCGCAGTGCAACTGGATTACTCCGGGTCTGGAATTCCTCGTGGCATAAGTGGATTACATCGTGAAACTATGCGTTCTAAGTCATCGAACCGCGTTTCTGCGACGCAACGCGGACTCCTCGAGTTTCGCGTGCTGCATTTCAGCATTGACCGAGAGCGTAACAACGCTGTCCCACGACGCGTCCCGTTATCCCATGGAACCCTTCGCGGCGATTCAATCGAACCGAGGTGTAATCCCGAGCTAATGATCTTACACACTCGTACGAACCGGCGGCGTCGGTATTCGCTCGACGGGAACTCCCATCGTGGCGATCCTCGCGAGCACGTGCGCGCCGGAAGCGTCGTGGCGCGCGGTCGCCTCGTGAAAAGTTAATCAATCGGCTAGCCGTCTGGCAGTGAGTTGAGAAATGTGCGTGTCCGAAAGTGTCGCGGGTGCTGCGAGCTACCGAGCAGCGTTTACTGACAGCGTACTTGCTAGATAACAGGAGGGAAGGCCGTGAAGCTTGCAAAGCTCTACGAAGTCTGGGAGCCCGTACGTGAGCAGCGTGGGATACGTACTACCTGAAAATAGCAACGACACACTTCGCGGCCTGCTGTGCCGACATCGAATGTCGCCAGATCGGCGTTGTCGATGAACAGAGGTTGGAGGCGTGCCAGGATTCCCTGTCCTCGAGGGCTTGCTGTTCGACCGGCCTCTTCGTCCACTCGTTCTCTCGAATTCGTCGACTGGGCGTCGTCTCGCGCGTTTATTAAACCAAGGGACCACCGGTCGAGAGACGCGAGTGAACACACTAACGCGCGATCCGCGCGAGGATCACGTGTCGAACGCGAGCTTCTCCTTCGCAAAAGCACCTACTGCTATTTTCGAATTCGTGCTGGACGGAGCAAATGGAGGGAGAGAGAGAGAGAGAGAGAAAGAGACAGGGGTTCCCCTTGAACCCTCTGCTCGACAGCTCTCCCGCCCCTGACTATTCGATCGCGACCACCCGCGGGATGCTGTCGACTACTGCATCGAAATGCGTCCAGGAAATCCCTATGCTCCTCGAGCCCCCTTGTCCTCTCTCGTCTCACCTTGCCCGCCAACTCCCGGACCTGCGCTTTCCGCCACTGCACTCTCGGCGTTTTAGCAATCACGACCGACCACTTCTGTCGACTGACTTTTATCGACCGGGTACGTGATAAAGAAGGTTCATGGGTTGCGTGGAAATCGGGCAGACGCGACTTTATTACATCAATTTTCCCTCCGAATCCCTCTTCTAATCGAGGGAAGAGTGCCTTAATTTATACCGTTCCTTGGGAACATATGTCTCCAATTTGTTCATACATTGTTATCCAAAGAAAAAAACAAAAATTCCATGTTTAACCCTCTTCCGTTGAAGCGGAATCTTCTTCCCCTTCTTTCATTCGTAGTTTCACGATCCTCGCGGAATTGCAAGATTTTTCTCGCTGCCACCGACTGCCATCGGTTTCGTCTTGAGTCTTCCAGTGTTGTCGATGACGTGTCGACTTTGTATTTTACAGGAATATGAATTTCTTGTCTCGAAGTAACGTCGGACAGCGTCGATAGCGAGACGATGCTGCGATTGCGCGAGGTGTGACCCGCGACTTTTGAATCGTCGAAGCTGACGCAAGATTTTATCAATTTGAAACAAAGGTGTGACGCGTTTGCCAGGTGCACGTGGGTTTTCACGCGTGTCGTGTTGCAATCGTTCGTGTCATTCGTGTGCGTGTGTCATTCTTCGATGATGGATCCCTGGGATACTGCTGCCGACGTACAAGCACATCGTTTCTTGGGAAAACAGGCTTGGAGAGAAAGAAAGAGGCGTGTGCTGGCTTGTCGTTCCGAGAATTTGCAATTCTGTTGCATACATTACGCATCCACGTCTTCCGTTGTCTGAATCAGCGACAGAAATAATATTCTTATATTCGTATTTACTAGAACATATCGTGATCGTGGAACGTTTACGAATTTCATTCGCTCCTTTACCGATGCCGATAAAACGCGGATCAAGAAACGTACAGAGTATCGTCGATCGTAATTTATTTGATCTTTATTTCGTATTTGTACACGCCCTCAGCATGCCACATACAATCAATATGATACAGTCCAATGCAGCCAAGGTAGAAGTAAAATACAAAAAATATATATATATATATTTATATATATTTATATATTTATACTCTACGTCGATAGTTAATATTATTGTTACCACGATGTTATAACGCTGAATATATTATGGATAATAGCTAAGAATATAATACAAAGAAGAGTGCTGGTTACAGTAGGACACGTAATTCGGATTGAACGTGGTGCAATTTATGGTTAATCTTCAGCGCTTCCTTGAGATCGCTAGGAGAAACGGCAGCGATCGTTGTTTCTCGGATTTTCACTCCCTGTTACCATGCGTAACCGAAGGTAAAGCAATCTTCAAAATGAAATTCGAAATCACAGCTCTCTTACCATGACCTGCCGAGAGATTTACAAGGAAAAATAGCTTGAACGATCGAAAACGTTCGATGAAAGAACGAGAAAAGAAAACTGAAGAAAAAAAAAAAAGGAAAAAAAAGGAGGAAAACGTAAAAAGCTTCTTATAACGTTACGTATGGCTATGCAAAAATATAAGTAAAACGCGCCTCGATGCGAGCGAGGTACGATTCGACGTTTCACGTGGAAATCAGCTTACTTTCAGTCCCGCTTTCAGCGGAACTATGAGCGTGCACAAATTTAGAGAGACTCTCGATAACGTTAATATTTCTCATTTTACGCCCCTTTAATAATCGGTAGCGTCTCTATACAATTCACCCGTTGGTTTCACTATTTTTTAATTTTTCTTTCCCCCTTTTTAAAAGGCTATCGATACAGCTAGAATGCGCTATCTAATTTATTGCTGTCGAATCCGAAGGGAAAAATAAAAGCCGTTAAACGATAACGAAAGCTCGGTACTCGCGAGGAGCATGAATATCCACGGTGAACCACCCCTTCGAGAATTGCGATTATTTTCTCCTCTTGAAGATCATCGATCGTCCGGATCTAAGATCGACCGCTACGCCTCAGATTCCTGATGATTTAAACAACACTGCTTACACAGCCATACGTTCGATACGCGACTGAAAGCCCTCCGTACATGCTCGGAAGAAATTAAAAGCATTCAAAAAGTGCCGAACGTCTCGCGAGCAATGTAATCTCTCTAATCGATTCTTGTTTTAGCATAGGATCGAGGTCGTTCGTTGCAAAAAGGATCG